AAGTTAATCAATAGCTTACACTCACGATTTTACCGCTACACCATGGTTACATTATGAGAGATTCCCGTGTATATATTGTGCGAGTTAACTCTAACAGGGAGATGAAGATACCTAAAATGCGTTTTCAATGCCTTAAAATTAAGGAAAATATATATCATTCTCATAAAATATTCCTCAATACTTACTCTTATTGCACTTTGCTTAGATAAATGTACTTGTAGGATAGACGCGACTTCAATGATGCGAAGAATTGTTGTCATGGGTAGAATATTGGTGGCACTCTGTCATTACATAATATTTGTGTCTTTTCGACTAAATCGGTGGAATTATGTGCAATAGCCAAGCTAAAAAGATGAAGAAGTGAGAAAAATGACCAAATGTGAAGAAATTTGGGACTTAAAAAAAGAAGTGTTTTCCTTTGTTTTTCTCGCGATCATGGTGCTTTCATTGTGGGCTCGATGAGCTCGTATCACGATTGTAATGGAACTCAACATGATCACGATGACGCGTTTTACTGACATGCTTTTGCAGATTTGTAAAGGGATTTTTGCTATTTTTTTTTTGGGGGGGGGGGGGGGGGGGGGCTACTAATATTTGGAGAGAAAGTGATGGCAAGGAACATTGAATGACAGCTATGGAGAGAATTGGAGCCATTGGAGAGCTTATTTTCTATTGATTTTGATGAATACTTCTTATTAACTCATGGTAATTGTTAATCTCACTATGAGTAGCTAAGATATTTTAGATTAGGTCTTTAGAGATGAACATAATTATACTCTTTTGAATCATATGAGTGTTTAAGATTATTTAATAATTATAATTATTATTCAATTGTTCTTATGTTTAATGCTTTTTGTGTGTTGACAAGCTCGCAAAGTGATTTGAGATGAGTAGATATTATTGACCGTAAATCTATTGATTTGGACTAGGGCAATTGTTCAAATTAGAAATTAACTTGGAATAGGTAATTATAATTTGTGGTTGTAGAATTAACAAACTCATAAACGTCTAGTTTTACTTTGAATTCGCCTAAGGAATTAGCTTTACATAGATGGTCACATCAAAAGACTTTCAAACATGAAACTGACATAATAGTTAAAATAAAGTAACTTAGTTTAGTTTAGTTGCTTTAACCGTCATCAAATTCGACAAAAAAAAGAAGCAACATTTAGACAAGAATTACCCTTAAATCATGGATGCGGAAAAAGTATAGGTTGGGGGAAAAAATGAGATTTCCACTGCATATGATTTTCTTATATTATAGATGGACTTTTATTTGAACTTGTTGTAAACCCTCTAATTTAGGTTAAAATTAGGGAAACTTTATTTCTCTATAACGATAACTTAGGAAAGAGTATAATTGATTTGCTTGAAAGTATGAATTGGATACTAAGATGAATAATGAGGGAAATTTTTGTATGTTAGAGACACATAGATACACGATGAATTTAAATGAAGAAAAATTATCTATTACACGTGTTACGTATCTGTGTACTTAAAATGTTTACTTGAGGAGTATTCTGATGTGGTGCAAGAAATTAATTAACGGGTTTGGGGGTATTCTAGCTACTCCTAATGAGTTTGTAAATTTGGAAATAGTGAAGGAGTTCTACACCAACACCAAATCGACTGATGAAGCACCATTGGCAAGCATTTTTTGGGTATGAGGGCAAAGAAGTCCTATATGATAGAGATGTTCATGCATACAACAAAGAAAACTATGGGACACACCCTAGAAATTTGGATCCATTTTCAGTACACTTGGCAAAAGGAAACTGGAGATATGATGAAATATCCTTTTATATATGTGAAATTGGAAAGACATACCAACTGGGTCAAAACAAAACTTTTTGTCTGTTTTAGAAATATGGCCTAATTATGATGTAGAATTACTAACAAAATCATACAATGAAGTTGGGTGTGTGGGCATTTTTTACTAAGTACTTGAATACACCTAAGTTCCTAAGATTTGAAGAATATTATGATAAGTCTAATTAATCTACGTCCAATTTAAATGTGCACGAAATGAAGAAAATGATACAAAAAATTGCCTACCCCTTTTGAGCTATACAATAAAAAATTTGAAAAGAAAAATAATATTCATCACCTTATCTTAAGGATAAGAGGGCAAGAAAAATCAGGGCTATTGAAAAAATGAAAGTTTGGGAGAAAAAAAGCAAAGAAAAAGTTTTGAAAGAAAAACTCAAGTAGTACTGGTGCAATAAAAAGAAAGATGCTTTGACAAAAACCAAAGTCAAAAATCAAAAGTCAATCATACAAAAATAATAAGACACCAAAAGAAAATGGTTGTAGGAAAGTGGAAATAAAGAAAGAGAAAGTATGTGAAAAAATACCATATGCTCAATCCATAGAAAAACTTTTTTTTTTGTAAGTCCAACCATGTTAGAACCTAAAGAAAGACCTTAGTGATCAATGATTGAAGATATATCTTGTGATAATGCTTAGACGAAATACAAATTATTACTACATTAGATTCATTATCTGGATTTTTTAGTGAAACACTAATCATTGAGAGATACTCAGTGAGATCATAATTCTAATGAATGATCAATTATAGATTTAGACATGTTTTAAAAATATAATTTTGATAAAGCAAATTGTTTATCTGTATGCTATGGTTCATGGATAGTCGTGATATTGATTATGAACTTGCACTTAAAAAGAACACCATGCCATACAAATAATTTGAAAACTTTTGACACAAAGTCAATTAACCTGTCAAAAGAAACATGCATTCAATAACATTTATGAAACATCTAATAATTTTGTTTTGAGGACAAACAAAAAGATAAGTTAGGGAGAGTTTATAAGTGCCAGATTTTACGTTAAGTACGTCGGAATTTATTGACTTATTTCACAAGCAACTATTACAAAAAACCCTGATTTGACTATGAAAAGTGAGAAAACACTTGTTTGGACTTTTTTTTGTATATATGCATTAATCAAAAACACGAAAAAAAAAACTAGAAAACCATGGTTCAACATGCAAAAAGAAAACTGAAGCAGAACCTTAAATAAACTACGCTCGTTAGGCCTAAAATAGGTGCATTAAGCACGGGATGGTATGGACAGATGGCACAACCGGCTACAACTACTTCATGGTGAAGAAAGGGTTAATTCGCTAGACAAATGGGTGGTGTAATGGGCATGCAAAGGCGGGCAAGGACACGTGGAAAACATGCAAGTATTGCTCACAGAGGAAGAAAAGCTGGATGGGAAGAGTTGGCAGAGCAAGGTAGGGGCGCTAGGCGCAAGTGCTTCAGAATTTTGCCTATAAATAGCAAGTTCTAGTTTAGTGTAAAGGGAGTTTTGCTGGGTCGAGGTAGTACATAATTGGAGTAGGTTCACTTTGGTCTACAACATGAGAATAAGAAAGGAGGCTTGAAGGTGGACGTACTGCTCAGGTGGCAAGGCTGATCACACTTCTAAGGTCGGCATCTCATAGTCACTACTAGAAAATTCGCTTTTAGTGACTGAAAAATTTTGGTCACTAGACACCAAAATTAGACATCATGTTAGTAAAATTTTAAAAGTCACTAAATCGGTCACTAAATAAAATTAGTCAGCAAATTAGCGACTGATATTTTGTGACCATAATTTCAGTCTCAAATAATCGTTTATATATAAATTAATTTATAAAAACATTCAGTGACCAAAATTTCGGTCACTAATTTTTTTTTTTCATTATTAAGTTACTTCTCTCCCAATTTTCTTCTTTTATTTATTTTTTAATTTTTCAGTTAAAATTTTACATTTTTATTATTTTAACTAATAAAACATATATTTATATAAATAATTAACTCATACAAGTTTACTAATTTAGATAAAATATGATTTTAATGACAATTAGTGTAAGAATCTTGTTAAATAATATTTGAAAGTTTTATTCCTACTAAAGACAAAACTTTTGTCGCTAAAATTGGTCACTAATTCCAGTCACTAAAATCGTAAGCTCGAAATTTTTAATAATGAATTACATGCTGTAATTTTGATGACTCTTTAATCTTAATGTTTGATTTAACTTAATATCCTAAAACTAACTTGTTTTTATGATATGACTCGACGTTCAAAGGTGCTTGTCATAGCTAGAATCAAGATAATCATCTCTTAAATACTAACGCCTAAATATAGTATCAAGTTTGATATCTACATGTATCAATGTGTAGCATTTTCATAAAAGATTCTTCTATATTTACTTATATTACACTTCCGTAGATAAATTCACCTGCAACCCAATGGCGAGTTCAAAGTTGTGAAGAATTGCCTTCATAGTCAGAAGATACACTAAAAACCATCATCAAAATAATGGCATTAGATTAAAAAAAACTCTCTTCAATTTTGCAGAAAAAACTTCTAAATTGAAACCTTAATATTATTAAATAAGTTTAATTTAATCAAAATAAAAAGAGCGAGAATGACTTTCTGCTCCAACTATTCATACCCTTGTAAATCAGATCTAAAATATTTTGAGAAATTTATATATTAGTTGTTATGTTAATATTTTCTTCTTCGTTCGAGATCAAACTCTAATCTTTTTACTCTTCCACTTCTAGTAATTGTACACAATTACCATCCGAACTATTTTTATAGCTCTTTGTATTTTTCTCTTCAAATAAAAGTTTCTACTTCTTTTAAGAATTCAGAGAATGCAATCCACTAAAAAGAATCTACACTATTCAAGCATGTTTTTTATCTTGAGAAATAATACATCTCACATATTGTAGCACACCTTACGTACACACTTCCTTAACCCTTTTTCAGAATTAGTAAAATACAACCATTATAGAAAAAACTTATTAATTACACATACAAAGTAAATGAAGTAAAATTGCATCATTGCATGTATAGTAGTAGTTATTTTCTTGTCCAACACAATCAACCATACTAGCATTATATCCTCTTAATTGTTTTATCAAAACAACTATCATACTAATCATATATAAATATTCATACAAATCATGCATCAAACCTCAACCAATATGGCTTTCAATTTTCCTGATGTATTTTGCTGGATTCAAAACCTTCCACCAATCTCAGAATGGGAAACAAATTCAATCTCTCTAAACATATGTTCTTCAACCACATCACAACCATTTCTCAATCTTACAATATCCAAAATTCATGAATCCTCAAAACTCTCTTTTATTATTGTTGCTGACTTCAATAATATTCAGATTCATCTTTGGACTTCAAAACCATTTAAACCAAACTCAAAAACCACCCATTTATTAAACCAAGAAACCGTTTCAAATCTCTTTGTTAATTTCATTCATGACATACTTCATTATGGTTCAAACAAAAACAACCCTTTTATCAGATTTCCAAATCTTGATTCTGTTCCAAACTTACCAGACATTTTCAACCTCACTTTCTTCACTCTTTTATTCCTTGTTTGTATATATGAATCTCCTAGAGATCTTCGCGACGCGTTTATCGGCGTTTTGAAAGATCATTTAACAAGCTTTCAATCAAGACAAACGTCGAATTTGCTTATGAAACTCTTGGGTTCAAATTTGCAAGAACAATGGATGCGTTCGGTGAACCTTGGGATAACTAATTGGGTTGGTGAACTTGAAGAACAATATCAAAACACGCTTAGAACGCCATGTTCTATGCTTTCTTATGCTTTTTCAACGTTTGGGATGTGGAAAGTGCAAGTTTATTGTCCTGTTATTTGTATGGATGTTGAGAAATCTGAAAGTCATCCACCTGAGAGACTTCAATTCTCTCTTAAGTATCATCAAGTTGAAAGTGTTTTTCAGTTCAATTATCAAGTTGATTTCAAAGAGGAATGGGTTGAAATCATGGTCAATGTTGATAACATAAGGTATGTAATGACAAATATAATATCTTTGTAGTATTTTTAAGTCTAACTTTAACTCCTTGTGGATATACATATATAGGTGCGATGTTACCAAATTGGTGAATGATTCTCTTGTAAAAGAAAGAGGAGCAGGTGCAGCTGAAAAACATTTTCCATCAAGAATATCATTACAACTAACACCAACTCTTCAAGACCAAGTAGTGAGTTTATCCGTAGGAAAATCCACGGATAATCCGAAAAAAGAAATAGGCAGTGAGAAAGGTATAGGAGCGTCAATTGAACCATCAACTCACATAGGACTCAAAGTATCATCTGGAGAATCAACAACAGTGAGTTTAAAGCCCTGGAAATTTGAACAATCAGTGTATGGATATAGTGCAAATATGAATTGGTTTCTTCATGATAGTATGGATGGTAAAGAAGTGTTTTCATCAAAGCCTTCAAAATGTGCACTAATTAATCCAAAATCTTGGTTCAAAAATCGTTACTCAAGTGCTTATAGACCTTTTACTAGACAAGGTGGTGTTATTTTCGCTGGTGATGAATATGGTGAAAGAGTTTGGTGGAAAGTTGATAAAAGTGCTGTTGGGAAAACAATGGAATGGGAAATAAGAGGTTGGATATGGTTAACTTATTGGCCTAATAAAAGAGTTACATTGTATAATGAAACTAGGAGGTTGGAGTTTCGTGAAATTGTTAATCTTGATGTTGCTTAATAAACATTAATTAGCTTGAGTGTGATGGGTGGTTTTATCTTTCCATTATTTATTATGGTTCATCAATTGTATCATAGAAATGAAGATATATATTGTAATCTTTTGAACAAAGTATTTTTACTGCAAAAGAAAATAATCAAAATAAAATATAAAGGAAGTTTATTTCTTGTGCAATTTCTTGAACAAAGTATCTTTTGAACAAAGTATTTTTTGGCAATTTATTTCATGTACAATTTCGGAAAGCAGCGGATTAGGTTTTATGAAATTATTCACTTTTTATAGTGAGTGGCAATTTATGGATTTTGTGGCATTTTACTGATTTACTTATTTTTTATTGGTTTTATAATGAAGACAAAATATCTAGTTTATTTTTTAATTAAGAGAGATAGGATAAAGTTGGCAGAAAATAACAGTAAAAATACATAATACAAAATATATATTAGTTTTCATTTTCAATTAAGGATACGTCTAGTTCCGGTACACTCCGATTTTTACTATTATCAAATCCTTGTATATCATATAACAGATTCTCATACAATCTTCTAAAAATAACAAAGAAGTTATACAATTTTCTTGATTTCAACCAAAACACCAACAACCTAGTGGACTTTGAATCACTCTGATTCAAAGAATGTTTTGCGACAAATAGAAAGACAATTCTCCCTGTTTGCAAACTCTTGTAATAAGTACAACAACTTTTTTATAGATACAAATCACCACACTTGGTGAAAAATGCAACAACTTGTATGAAAAATATTGTAGATACACTTTGTAATAATCTTGATCAACTTTGAGATTTTGCTGTTAGTCTGAGATATGAAAAATCAATCTTCTTCTTGATAAACAAATCAATATGATATAGACATTTAAGTGCTCAAGTGTTTCTCCAAACTTTTTCACATTAAAATGAAAATTACGTAAGAAAATTTTTATGTGAAAATGTTACTGACCCTTGAAAAATAGTAAAAATGCTCGTGAAGTCATGCAATATGAAAAATTCTGCATTTTAATCACAAAGAAACCCTTTGAAAATCATGTTAATGTTTGAAAATAATCAGAATAATTATGAAATGATTCAAGAAAATGTTTCATAAAAAAATATCATGAAAAAATAATGGTTTGAATTTTCAAAAAGATTTATCGTCCAGTTGATTGAGGTATTCCATACAATCAACTGGCACTAAATGTAACGTTAAAAAATATGCAAATATACTCTAATCCAATTGATTATGGAGAATTGATTTTAAACAAAAAGAGATCATCCAATTGAGTGGGGTAGATAGTACAATCAATTATATGTAAGGCAACACTTACATTTTTTTTTTAAAAAAAAATAAAAAGATCCAATCAATTGTGACTATACAAAATTTAAAATTTCTCCATTTTTCAAAGAGTGTCATGAATAAAAAAATATAATAAATGTTCTAAGACTCTTAAAGAAAGTTTAAGATGAAGTGAGATACTTGAGCGCTTAATGTATAACTAGTAAATTAAATTGTCACAAGTACCTTGATTAAAATAATTCTTTCTTGAATTCCATGACAAAGCACATTAATAGATTATTCAAATCTTTATCTTCTTTGATCTCTCTTTCATGATAATCTTTTATCTTCATCAAAACCAATACTTCTAAAGATGATTAACATAATCTTTGCATTTTCTTGTTGTTAAATGATATTTTTTGTTTATTAAATTAAAAAAATATATTTTATATATATATATATATATATATATATATATATATATATATATATATATAATTATATATATATATATATATGTGTGTGTGTGGGTGGGTGGGTGGGTGGGTGTGTGTGTGTGTTGTGTGTGTGTGTGTGTGTGTGTTTTTTGGACTAACCAAAATGGTCTTTAGTGGACCACTCAAAGGGAGTCATAATTCGTCTAGAGTGCTGGCAGAACAGGAGAATTATCCTATACATACACGTCTAGCAAATAGTGGGTTGTTATAACCATCCACTATGTAAAGGAAACACACAAAGAATTTAGGTACATAATTTTAAATCTAATTTATAGTCACTATTCTTTTCAACATACTGACTTGGGTGTTAGAGTGCAAACCTTGCAGATCAGCCTCTCTTCCTCTGTATCAGAAGCTCAGATTTGTCATTGTCCTCCGCAATCACCAATTATCCATCAATTCACACTCCACAATGTAATTGTGTCTCCGTATATGGGAATCAATGTCTCATTTCCGCATTTTTCCATAATTGTACATTCTTTCTTTGATTTGTTGATTTAAAGCTTTTTCCATTTATCATGTTAGAGTTCTCAAAATCGAACATTGGGTCTATTGCATTTGACCTAGTCAAATAGCTAATCAACATTGATTTCCTAATTTTCCAGATCCCTGACTCTCCTGCTTTTCAACAATGGTTGGATCTAAAGCTACTTGTTGCCGCCCTTTGCAAAGTAGTTGTCGTTGCCACTCAAACGAAAAAAACTCAACTTCAGCCTCCATCACCTCAAGCTATTACTGGTCAAGACATCGAGGACACTCATTTACATTCAAACCTACTATAACCTCCTCAGACTGCAAGATGTACTCTGATACTACCACCAATTTCACAACTTGAGGCATTACCTGATTTCCAACTATTGTGAGTCAATCACTGAATACACCATGCTAATAAGTTGTTGAGCAGCATGTATAACATCATTTGGCAACAGAATTTGTAGGCGATAGTGGAGAGGTTACTTCACCTTGAAGAAATCCTACACAACACGCCTCCTAGAGGAAACGTCGTGCAAGAGGCCCTATCAAAGTGAAACCAAGTCGTTGTCTCTAAGACGATTGTGTTAAGAAGAGATGAGGCTCCAAAATTACAGAATCGCCAAAAAATCAAGAAGCGTCGGGCTCCTCCTTAGAGCCTCGAGTAGGGTTGCCAATGAACCAAACTAACTTGAAAATAGTTCAGAACTCGGTTCGACAATTAAATCATTGAACTATATTCATGAACTAAATGAGTTGAATATGAACAAAAAAAAACTAAGTCCGTTAAATAAATGATCTGAACCTGAACTGTACATAGTATGACTTGTTAGGTTCATGAGTCAAGTCGATTATATATGAGAAGGATTATATTGCCTTTAAGAGTAGGTTTAAATATTTACTCCAAATCTTAAAACTATTTCGTCATTTTCGTACAAACCATGAAAGTAAAATTGACAATTGCATTTAGAGTCATCCTCGTTGGATGCATAATGACATTTGCTAAAATAACATGTGTAATGAAGGTAAGAAGTGGTGTAGTTTTTTATGATGCAAATGTATCAATTTCTAGTAATTTTTGGTGTACTATTTCATTAAATTTGTAAGGTTTCTAAATATTTAGATGGAGTTGTAGATTTTTGAAACAGATTTAAACTCTAATTGAGTAGTTTTTAAATTAGACTTTCAATTTTATTTCTTGAAAGTTGTGTAGTTTTTGAATTAGTAGATTTTTGAGACAAATTTAAATTCTAATCTGATAAGTTTTATTTTATTTCAATATTTTTTTTTAAAAATTAATTTAAAATGTCAAAATATATTAAAAAAATGACTTTTAAGTTTGTGAAACAAGTGAGCTGAACCTAATGAGTTGAACCAAATTGTTTGTGAACTTATAACGAGTTGAGTTTGAGCTTAAAAAAAGATCGTGTCGAACTTGAACCAAGATTTGAGCTGAACCAATTCTTAACGAGTTGAGCTGAGCTAAGGCGAGTTCGACTCGACTCATTTCTGACCCTATCCCCAAGGGAGGCCGAGGCAACCATGTTCCTCTACAGGATCAGATAGAGTGATCGATGACCATTCGACAAGTGTATTGATAGTGTCAAAGTAGTAATTAAAAAGATTGTCTCCACAAGGATTGTAACTTAACAAAGTAATTATGTGCAAATTAAAATAATAACAATAAGGGTGTAGCACCCCAAAATTTGCCTCATCGTTTCTTGGTTTACTGACTTTTGTTTCTCTGTATTTTTGCATTTCTACATATCATAACATTGATTCTCGAGACATGGGATCAAGGTATTTTTGTGGCTCAGGGTTCCCTTTTGTTGTGGCTCAGGGTTCCCTTTTGTTTCAGCTCAGGAGACGGTGTACAAGCTATCTCAAGCATTCTCACAATCATAATATCCAAGGGCAAGTTTCATAGGTTTAACAGAGCTTATAACAGGTGGCAACAGATGATTATGCAAGTTTTGCTCCATTTGGCGCCAAAATTGGCATTTTTTTGGATATGGTAATCGGTTACCACATGTTGGGTAACTGGTTACTTCAAGCGAAATTGGCCAAAATATTTGAATTTTCAGCATGTGCAATTTTCCAATCATTTTCAACCATTGATTTCACATGATCATCATTGGAAGGATCTCAAATTGTTTCAATTTTCACCATTTCCCTCCAAATTTCAAATACTTCACTCCTAATTTTCATTCCAAATGTTAATCCACATTCCAGACCATATTTTGATTTCAAACCTAGAGCTTATTTAAGTGAATTTTGTAACATCCCAAATTTAATTGGAATATTTTAATTAATTTATTTAATTAAGAATATTCATTTTCGGTGGTTTTGTGGAATTTTAAAGAATTATGCATAATTGGGTTATTTATTTTGAATAATAGTATATAATATGAAGATATTAATATTATTATGAATTAAAATAAATATAAGTGAAAGAATGGCAAATTGGACATTTAAGAGGAGTTAGTGAGGGTGTTATGGAAAAAGCCCAATTGTGAGGCCCAAGACTAGGTTTGACAAAATAGAATTCTTAAGGGAGTTAGGATTCATTTTTGTGAACCGTGAAAAGTATTATGGCCAGAGAGCTCTGAGAAGAAGATTGGAGGCAGAAGATTCCCGGTGATAATCGTGAAGGCTTTGAATCGACTAAGGTATGAGGAGTATAGCTTTTCATAATTTTCCATGTGTAACTTTCGATGTGATTATGGTTGATTTGCGGGTTTAAGGGTTTTCTGGAGAATTATGAGAAAAA